ACTTTTAAATGGATTAATCTGAGATAATCCATTATTGTCATATGCAATTACCTACATTCTATTATTGATAAAACCAAAATCAGTATCCTCCTAAAAATTGTTTATATCTTCTGTAACTTTTGGTAATAGCTAATAACTCCACCACATATACATATAGTATATACAATAGATTAAACTTAAAGCGCCTATTATCATGGAGATAATTCCACCAATAACACTAGAATGATTATAATTAAGTCCATCTGATATGGCAGGAGAGTATGTTACGCTGAAAAAGTCAACATTTTTTAACTGATTTGAAATTTTCTTCATTATTAATTATAATTACTTGTGATTTAATCTCTTTACGCTAAAAGTAAAGAATAATGAAATATTTTTCACTTTAATTGTAATATACAAATAAAAAAATTGTAATTTATATTGGTTCTAAGTAAAAATTAAAATTATCATTAATCTTCATTAAGAAAATATGTCTTTTATGATTTGAGTAACGTCATTTATACATTACTCTCCATTCGGGATCAAATTATAAAAATTCAAAAATCCATGAGGCATGTAATCATATTTATACAATTTGCATTTCTTTCCTAAATTACTTAAGTAGAATTGAATATAATACATTAATCTTCCTAATAATGTCCAAGTATCTCCATGCAAAGGATCATTTGTTCCTGTCAAAATATAAGTCTAGGGGAATTGTTACAATACTTCATCAATTGCTTCACCAGGGGATATCAAAGAATCCTTATAATTAAGTGTTTCATCTTAAATATAAGATTTCACACATAATTTCAAAAATGAATGAGGTAATACTAAATATTTGATAAATTAAATTACATCCATCATCTAATGAAACAAATTAATACATATTGAAATTTTTTGGATCAAGATTCAATGCAGGATATGCTAAAATTATACCAGCAGGCAAATATACACTCTCTCTTATACATAAAGCAGTTAATGCAGCACATAAATTACCACCAGCACTATCACCAATTAATATAATTTTTTTTGGAGTTATATCTAAATATTTATAAGAGATTATTACTAAAATAATGTAATGCAAAATGAATTATCCAAAGATAAGCTTGCCAACAGTCATCAAGAGCTGCAGGAAAGGAATATTAAGGAGATAATCGATAATCAATTGAAAATATAGGTACTCCAAGAGAGTTTGCCCATAATCTAGTATATATTTAATGAGATCTAGAGGACATTGAAACAAATCCTCCACCATGAATATGTATTATAATATTTTCATATGTTGTATTTGTTTTCTTATGAAACAATCTATCAATAAAACTAGTTCTAGATATCTAAATTAATGGATCTTAATAGTAATTTTATAAACTTGAGGATGGACTTATATTTAAAGTTTCGGAATTTAGAATTCGAATTTTAATTCTATCATCTCCATTTTCAATTAATTGATAAAAAGATAATAGTTTTGGGCTTTTATCAATTAATGGCTAAGGTGGAGTGATTATACCCATATAATGTTTCTAATAGTATTTAACATATTCAAGATTAATTTGTTTAAAATATCTTGGAATATATATACATTATTTGTATTTTATAGATGGAAATATTATTGGCATTAAATGTTTAGCTAAACCTGTTTCACCCATATTCCAAACTGCAAAAGCCAATTCTACTGTTGGTTCTGCCATTAATTAATGTGCTTTCAATAAGCCTTATTTTCTAGCCAACATATAATAAATAGGTCCTAAATTGTGTATAATACCTCTGAAGATTTTAGTTTCTGTTTCAGATTTCTTTTACATCATTGCTTAAGCTGATTAAATAGCAGATAATATAAATTTATAAGCATGATCAATTTATTCTTTTTTTGCGATTTCTTTAACAATTATATTATTCTTATATTCATATTTAATGTCTTATGAAGCACATGCATGAGGAAAAGCTTCTAAAACACATAAAAATTTAGATAAATTATAGTGTAATTCAATAAGAATATGTTTTGGTTTTCTAGTATGATTTTTAATGAAAAATTCTTCACATACATTTAAGATTTTGGGTAAGAGATTGATATTTAAAATAGATAGAATTTAGTAAACGTAATTTAAGTTAATATCTTTTGAATAGAGACAAAAGTCTCCAATAATATGGGAATAATCTTTACTAAGATTCTCAATCACTGATTATATCTACATTTATCCAATTAGACATAACTTTGTCAATTAAGTTGTTTTTAACGTAAACATGTCTTATAAACCAAATAATGAAGTTAATTCTGTAGCAATTGTAATAAGTTCATTATATTTATTATAAGCTAATTATAATTTAATTATACTTGTTTCCATAGTCTCTTGTAATTCAATATTAAAAGAACCTTGTATACCTTCAAAAAGATCTTTATCATTTCTTTGTTCAACTTTTATTGATTCCCTATCATAAACAACTATTTAAGAATAAATTGTGTCATCTTATTCTTCTATTCTTTCATCATATTCCCTTATAGGTCCTAAATCATTAAAAAATGCTTGCATCTATATATTTCAATAATTTATAATATAATAATTTTAATATAGTAGTATGATAGAGATCATTAAAGAAATTCTATGTCATTCAATTTAATAAATAAATATCAAAAATCTTAAATATTTCTATATATGTGAGAAGTATAATTTGGATTAATTTTATATTGATAAATTGCTTTAATTTTTATACTATCATAAGTTTCTTTATTCCTATATTTTATTTAAAATATTATGGCTCAATAAATTGATTTTGATAACGATAACTAATTACCTTTTAATACAAATGGCTATACAGATTCAGCTGTAATAATGTGTTTTCATTGTGATCAAATAGGAGAAACAAAATTAGTATACTAAAGAGGAATGTGGACATACTTGATGTGTATAGCAATGTAATGTATATGTGGGTTATTTTATTAATTTATTCTAAAGTCCATTAGGTTCGGTAGTCTTGTTTATGAATGATTGCAAAGATATCTATCATATTTGTAGAAACTGTAAAGCTATAGTTGGGATTACTGAAAAACAAATAAAATTTTAATGAACTTATAGAATAATTCATTAAGCGAAAAATTAGCAAATACCTCAGTGTCTATGAGTGATTTCGACTGATCGAAGTTGAGGAGTCATAGTTAAATTTGGTGTACCCATATCACCATACAATCGACTGGCTTTGTTTTCAAACATTAAGGAATCATTTTTCTTTTATTTTGCTATTTTTATCAAAGTCACCTCATCTAATTCAGATCTACATGCTGGACAAATTCTATTTTTTTCCAACCAATTATCAATACATTATATATGAAAGATATGAGTACAATAAGTCAATCTTACTTAATCTGATTCCTTAATTTTATCAAGACAAATCAAACATTCATCTGTAGATGCCAAACCTGGATATTAATTTATCAATGTCTTATATAATTGTTTAGGTAGATATCTTTGTATATCAGTTTTTGGATACAATGACATAGTAGGAAGTATTTAGTGTTCTTCCTTCTATTTTCTACAAAAATAGTAATAACAAACTATACAACAACATAAACTTATAGATCCTCCAACTGTTGTTATAACAATTATTAATATAATTTTAGTATTCTAATTGTTTGGTTCTTATGAATTTTCACATTCTGTTTCAAAATAAAAAATATAATAAGAAAATTGTTAAGGACTCAATTTTTAATTATTTATTTTTGATAAACATGACTGGACATCTGTAATTTTTATCTCTCTTTTTTCAATCATATTTTACTATAATAAATACCAATCTTCAGCATAACAAATTTGTTTATATTTTCCCACTTAAGTAAATTTTATATTGAGAGAACAAGTATTTTAGTCACATCCTTTTATATTAAAATAGTAAAATCCATTTTTATGATATAGAGATTCTTTAGTTATATCAAGAGCTTCTATACTACAATCAGCTCCAAAATATCCTTCTATACACTCACACATACCATCTTTACAGATACCTTCATTTTGGCATAATCTAAAATTTTATATGTTTTAAATACAATGCACATTAGGAAATATCTATTGTGCTTATTGTAATGGAAAAATTTGAAATTGTTTTTGAATAGGTTCCTAATACTTATGGGAACTCATTAAATTATTTCATAGATAATAACTGCATTTAATACTTTTCTAATTTGAAACCATGTATTAGCTATATGATTTAAGTATTTCTTTTCAGATCAAAAGAATTTACATCATAAATACAGTTTTCTTTTAAAAGAGTAATTTCTGAATCACATATCAATAATTATGTTGAATCGAAGATTTCTTATTCTAATTTTACTACTATTTTATAGTTTGGTTTTGGGCTTGTCTGAAATGTTTATAATATATGAATCCCAATATCTAAATTCTAAAAGGTTTAGGTTTATCCTAAACATTCAAGAAAAAGATGCAATAAAATAAACATAAATCAAATTTAATGAATAATTCTGTTGAGATCATAAACAAGATTAAACAATTAATTTAATTTTATTGTTTATTCATAGTTGCTAGACCTTTTTCATTATAATCAAAATGCAAGCTTATGCAACAATTAAATCTATACATAGATTTTAATAAAGAGGTAGAAATGTCTAAAATTATAAATTCTTTTCAAAAATATCTGAATTTTATCCTCTATTCTCATTTATATAATGAATAAATACTTAATTTTATAAAATATAAATAATCTAAAAATTAATAAGTCATAGTATTATTAATAATAATATACCATAATTAAATTAATTATAAATTTATTTATGGTAGTGTTAATTTGAACTACTGTTATTTTTATAGTATCAATAATAATATTATCAATTAAATCCATTTATTATATCTTTTTCATATAACTTTAGTACTTATCATAGATTACCTAATATTTATTATTTAATTTAAATTTTTTAAATCTGAAGATAATGAATTCTAATATTTTAATATCCTTTATTAATTCTATAAAAGTTATAACATTACTAATACTTGATATTAATTAATTTATCAAAAATGGGAAGTCAAATATAAAAATCTCATCTAAATAATCAAGCACATATATCTCAAAAAATATAAAGACCTTAAGCAAAAGCAGTATTTATAGAAGTAAAAGTAAATGATCCAGGGGCACCTATAAACTCCTTTTTAGTAGAATCTATTGATTATTTGAATGATAATAACATGCTTAACAGAAAGAATTAAAACCAAGACAAAAATAATTCTCCAATTTTTGAAGAAAACAAAAATCCTCAAAATTCCAAAAATTCTCACTTATTATCAGTTAAAGGAATCCTTAAAAAACCAAATATTAAGTCTCGATCTTCCTCGAGATATTTTAATGAAGAAGCTAAATTTGTTAGATTTTAACTGAAAAATACTTACTACTCATCACAAAGACATAGAGACATTGAAAAAATTTAAAAATCTAGAAAAAATAGGAGTTCTACTCAATTATGAAACATCTTTTTATATTTTTATGTTTATTATAATCATAATTGAAAATATAGTTTTTTGGACTTATAACTAGAAGCAATTTTATTTTTTTGTATATTTCAAATTTAGTACAGTAGCCAATTTTCTTGATGAGCATAAAATTATGATTAAATAAAGAAATATGTCAAAATAATACGCAATAAATTTTATATAATTCAAATGATTTTATATTAAAGTTATACCGTCATCTTAATTTATTATCATTATTCTATATATATTATTTTTGAAATATTAATTATACCAATAATTTATTTTTTAAGAAAATCATGTAGATAATTTGTGAAAATAGGAATATTGAGTATTTTTATTTTCAATAAAACTTCATATTTTTATTAAACATTTTATTTTGATATAGTGATATTAAATTATTTCAGCTTAGGGATTGCTAAATAAAAAAATCAAATATCAAAATAAATTTAAATGTCTTAAACTCTAAGATTCTGGTTCAAATGGTATTTAATAGTCCTAATGATTGATTTAAAATCAATTAGTCTTATTAACAATTAATTTTTCAGTGCAATCTTTTAGAATCATTTATGATAGACTTATCTTTTGTATTTCTAGAATTTAATAATCTAGGCATTTTTTAATTTACAAAAGATCTTTAACTTGAAATCAAATAATGAAAGCACACTTATAATTATTTTCTTTTCCTAATATTTTTTGTCCATAACTCTTTTACATTTTTCCATAATAGACATCCTATTTCTTATAAACTTTATGATATCCAGACATATAAATGTTTAGAATATACATATCAATTAAAATAGTTAAACCTATATTTTTATCTTAAATGAAAAAAACCTAAATTTTAGATAATTTTATTTCTTAAAATTAAGTAAAAATTATAAATGAGAATTTAAGTATTATAATTGATTATTAGTTTTTATTAACCTTCGATTTAATAAGCTATTTGTAGTTCAATTAATTTATATCTATGAGATTTCTAATTTATATTTTATAATATAAAAATGAAAGCTTATGAATTTGAGGTTGACAATAAAAGAAATATATAAAGAGAAGAACTATTTATTTTAACAATAGTTGAAAGAGTATTAGCAGGACATCTATAATTAATATCATTTGTGGATTAGGCTTAGTTTTGTGAATTGTTAACAAAAAGGTAAGCAGAACATAAAGTGATTCAACCATTGCATATCTAAATCTTAGGCACAGTGAAAAGAAATCTAATAAAAAACTAAACACCAATGCTTGAAAAAAAAGTTAATTATGAAATTAGAACTGTTGCTTCATCATCATTTGATATGAGGAAGAACTACATTCATTCATTTAGCAATAGATTGTTAAATAATAAGGAATAATAAACCACAGAAATAGATGCATTATTAATTGGACAATAATACCAATAATCAAATAGAAATAGTAACTTAAAATTAGATAAAACTGAGAATAGTTGTTTAGCTAAATATCACACTAATAGAAGTTAGTAATAGAATGATTCATCTGCTCGATACATTAACCCCTTTTAACTCAATAGTCCTAATAGCACTTAAGCAGAAAATATAAATAAAGAATTGCCATCTCTTAAATAATCTATAATCAATGAAAATCTACCTATTCTAAAAAATGAAATGGCTATAATTAATATTGTAAGTTAGGATGGAGAAATAGAATAATAAGAAGATTTTATAATTAAAAATAATAACACCAATGTAGAATCAATAGTGAGCCAAAATCATTAACAACTATTTATTTAGGACAGTAAAATACAATAGTAATAATAATAATAATAATAAGTATAATTATAAAGTCACTCCAGAAAACAATCATAAAATTTACCTATGGGTAGTGACTCTAGCAAAATGGATCTTAAAGAAAAGTTATAAAAATATTATAGTAATGATGAAGACTTTAGTACTCAAAGAAAACCAATGACTTAGAGTGATAGATTAAAGAATATTAGTTATGGCACAGATCCTAATTCAAAAGATATTAAACTTGATAATTAACCATAAATAATTTAAAGTGCTAAATACTTAGATAATAATAAGAAATTTCATAAATCTCATAAATCTAATAAATCTCAGATTATATCATAATAAGTTAAATTTTCATTTATTCCTGTCCAAAGCTAGGAATTTATATCGCAGACGTAAAATTTTTCTAAAGATCAATTAAGTCCAAAGAAAAGCCTTGAAGAAATTCATCCAAATGGAAATTTTCTGTCTCCTCCTTAATCAGCTAGGTCTATCATTTCTGCAAAGACAACAAAGACAAAAATTAAGACATTATAATCAAATGAATTAAAAATATTTGATTAACAAAACCTATAGGAACAATAATAAGTGGAAAATTCAGTCTCAAATGAAGAATCATAAATCTCTATGTTGGAATAATCATTACATCAAAATGAGTAAGATCATCATATACATTAAAATACATTAAGACCAGCAACTACCCATATTGAATCTAATAAATAATAAGATTATCCATTATTTTAAACTCATGATAATTTAGATATAATGAAAAAATCTGCATAAAAATTATTATAATAGTAAACTAGTATCACATCCATTATGCATGATGAAGAGAACTTTTAGAATAATTAAACATAACATATTAATATTTAGGTTAATTAATGTGAACCAACTTAACCTACAAATAATGTGATAATAGAAGAATCAATAGAAGGTTCACCTAATTATAAAGTTTAAAATTATCAAAATTCTATAGCCTCTTTTTCTCTCCTAAAATTAGAGGATTAAAAATAAATGCCTACTTAAACTAATTTTTAATAAAGATAACTATCATCATCTCCAAAGAATGTATATATTCCTACAAGTTCCTATATTCCAACATCTAATTAAGTATAAGGTACATAATCATAATCATAATCAAAAATGCTCATACCTATTAGTAATACATAAAATAGTATTAAACATAATAGGGCAAACAATAAATCTAGATCTTAAATAAAAGATTATATTTCATAATAATAATCATAATAATTATTATAAAGATCAGATGATAGTTAACCTGAAAGTAAATTAACAATTGAGTCTTCTTAAGGAGATAAATCAAATAGATCAAAAATAGTTAAAAATAAAAAGTAATTGAAATTACCAGCTGCTGCAGTTGCACTTAATTTTGCAAGGAGAAAATCATCTAATTAAATTTCTCCTATGGATGTATAAATAATTATTTATTATATTTTAGCCCAAAAAGCAAGAACAATTAGAAAAAGAAAAATAAAGATAAATTGAATATTAAAAGTAACTTGAAAAAATGAAATATGAAAGAGAATTAATGGAATAATTTAAAATTCCAGATAATATGCCCTTATTATAAAAAAGATCTATCATTGAATAATTAATGAAAGAATTAGAAGTTAATTCTGATTAAGATGCTAAATATTAAATAATGTTATGTAAAATATCATTATATATATTAGATAAACAAAGACAAGAATAAATTTAAAATGCTTCAAAATTTGAATTAGTTTTTAATAATAATCTTTCAAATTGTTATGAGGAATTATCTCATATTTCTGAATAGAAATTAAAATTATTAGGGAAAGATAATGATCCATCTAAAGTTTAATTTTTAAAATTTGAGGATCAAGTTTAAACTAATTTTCATGGATAATCAAAATCTTTTACTTAAGATCTTAATTCACCTACTAAAAAAAATCTTAAATTTTTTAGTAAATTAGATCCTGTTGAAATTGAAAATTAAATGAATAGAATGAAAGAATTTAAATAAGAGACTGATATTTTAAAATTCTTTTCTTCATTCAATAATCAATATGATAAAGAAGTATAGATATTTATATATATATTTTAAAAGGTTAATTAATGTAATTTAGATTATCCTACTGAAAAAGATAGATACTTTTCTATGGATTTTTAAAGAGGATTCTTACCAAAAACAATACATAGACGCAAAAGGGCTAAGAAGAAAAGCACAAAAATAGTTATTAATACTTATAGAGTGGATCCAAAGAAATTAGATTAAGTTTAAGCTTAAACAGAAAAAATAAAGCAAGTTGGTTAATTTTTATTGTGATTATATGCTTACTATGAATTTTAAGAATAATTTAATAAAACATACAAAATTATTTAACTTATTTAAATTAAATTGTTTTTACAAAATATATAAATATATATATAAATAAATAAAATTATATTTAATTATTGTTTGGTTATTCAAAGATAAAAATATATAATAATAATAATAGAAAATTGATTATAAAATAAGTTTCATAAAGTTTCGAATAATTTATTTAAGGAACAATCAATTACTCGTGAATTGATATTTTTCATTTTATTAATTGTTTTCATTTATTTATCAAGGTCAGCATTAAATGCTTATTAGAAATTTAATTTAGATTCAAGTTTTTTTTATTCAGTGTATAAATCATCTAGAAAGTATTCGTAAACAGACTGTAAAGATAAATCTGCAGAAATACAACTATCATTATTTTAATTGGGTTTAATTTTCTATTATCCTAATGGTTATCTTTTTCTATGATTTGATAATATGCTCCTTCTGGTTGATTAAGATGACTTTGATACTGTATAAAATAAGTAAATATACCTTATTAATTAGCATAAAGAGATCTTCCATCAATACAATTTTANTATGCCCTTATTATAAAAAAGATCTATCATTGAATAATTAATGAAAGAATTAGAAGTTAATTCTGATTAAGATGCTAAATATTAAATAATGTTATGTAAAATATCATTATATATATTAGATAAACAAAGACAAGAATAAATTTAAAATGCTTCAAAATTTGAATTAGTTTTTAATAATAATCTTTCAAATTGTTATGAGGAATTATCTCATATTTCTGAATAGAAATTAAAATTATTAGGGAAAGATAATGATCCATCTAAAGTTTAATTTTTAAAATTTGAGGATCAAGTTTAAACTAATTTTCATGGATAATCAAAATCTTTTACTTAAGATCTTAATTCACCTACTAAAAAAAATCTTAAATTTTTTAGTAAATTAGATCCTGTTGAAATTGAAAATTAAATGAATAGAATGAAAGAATTTAAATAAGAGACTGATATTTTAAAATTCTTTTCTTCATTCAATAATCAATATGATAAAGAAGTATAGATATTTATATATATATTTTAAAAGGTTAATTAATGTAATTTAGATTATCCTACTGAAAAAGATAGATACTTTTCTATGGATTTTTAAAGAGGATTCTTACCAAAAACAATACATAGACGCAAAAGGGCTAAGAAGAAAAGCACAAAAATAGTTATTAATACTTATAGAGTGGATCCAAAGAAATTAGATTAAGTTTAAGCTTAAACAGAAAAAATAAAGCAAGTTGGTTAATTTTTATTGTGATTATATGCTTACTATGAATTTTAAGAATAATTTAATAAAACATACAAAATTATTTAACTTATTTAAATTAAATTGTTTTTACAAAATATATAAATATATATATAAATAAATAAAATTATATTTAATTATTGTTTGGTTATTCAAAGATAAAAATATATAATAATAATAATAGAAAATTGATTATAAAATAAGTTTCATAAAGTTTCGAATAATTTATTTAAGGAACAATCAATTACTCGTGAATTGATATTTTTCATTTTATTAATTGTTTTCATTTATTTATCAAGGTCAGCATTAAATGCTTATTAGAAATTTAATTTAGATTCAAGTTTTTTTTATTCAGTGTATAAATCATCTAGAAAGTATTCGTAAACAGACTGTAAAGATAAATCTGCAGAAATACAACTATCATTATTTTAATTGGGTTTAATTTTCTATTATCCTAATGGTTATCTTTTTCTATGATTTGATAATATGCTCCTTCTGGTTGATTAAGATGACTTTGATACTGTATAAAATAAGTAAATATACCTTATTAATTAGCATAAAGAGATCTTCCATCAATACAATTTTATTCTCTTAAATAATTATATAAAGCTGTATCTTTTTAAGATAGAGTACTTTATTCTTATGGATAATATTCAATATTTTTTAAGTGGTTACTGTTTTTTTCTTTTTTATATTATCCTATGAATTTTTTCTCTTTATCTCTTAAATTATATTTATTGAAATTTCTAAGTGTTTACTCATCTTATATTTTTTTCATTAAATCATTTGATTCATTAATTAATTTGAGCTTAGAATAACTTAATGTTTCATGATCTTGTTCAATTGGATTCTTTGGTATAAATAGCATTTACATTTATTTGAACTTCTTTACACTACTTGAAAGTTAAATAGGCTTTTTTTCTTAGATAATATTAACGATTTCGGATTTCTTTTATGATTAAGTAGTTTATTGTAATTATTTTTTTAGAATCTTAGTTTCTATCAATTTTTAAAGTTTCTTCAACTTTGATGGAATAACTTCCTCATTTTCTTTTTAGTTTTTAATATAAATGGTTTTTCCTCTTTTTACTTTAGACTTTCTTGGACCAAATGCAAATACATCACTCTATCGATTATTTTATTTAACTTAAGATTTAAGCATTTCGCATTAATCAACCTCTCCATCTAAAAACTTCTTGAATCCTTTAGGAACTGGAGAGCCTAGAATAAAAGGACTGTATAAAAGCAATGGATCATCAATTCTACTTTTCTTTTTGTTATAAGGTATAGGTATTTTCTTCAAGGATGTAATTGGAGAAGGTATTTGATTTAGTGTAATTTGCTATCTTAAATTTAGTTTTGACCTAAATTATTCAGGAGTAATTGAGAACTTAGGAGTTGTTTTAAAAACCACAGTTTTTTTGTGTATTGATATCGGTGATTTAGTAATATTACTCCAAGTAGAGATCATTTTATTGAATAATAAAAATTATGTTTCTTCATTAAACACTTGATTAGCCATATAGTTAAGTGGGGACTCCATTAAGTAGAAGGAATGCAACTCCAAGTGATATGATTCGACTTAATAGTCCATTCTCCACACATAACATTCATTCAAAGGATAAATTAAGAAACCGTGGAAATTTAGTGAGTAATAATTAGCAATTATAACATAAAACAATAAAGCTCACTTTGCCATCTCGAATAAAACCAAAACAGAAAAGGTTATTGAGATAAGATGATCCACTGATTACTTATAGTCCAATAAATTAATTGAGAAAACCACCTACAAATTTGTTTATTAAATATTTAGATGGTGAAATCAGTACTTAAGATTTAGTTTCTTAATCCACTTCAGAAAATAGATTATTAAATCATAAAGATAAGTCTAAGGCATAAGAGAATAAAATGAAAAAAATAAAAAATGCTAAGTTGAATATTTTGTAAAGGTTTCTTTAAGATAAAATAAAAAAAAACAATTCTAAAGGTATAATTGATATTGATTTTAATTTATCAAAAACTAATATTGAAGTACCTTAAACAAATGACATAGGTGTCAAATCTTCTAATTCAGTCAAAAAGTTAAAATAATTATAAATATTATTTTTTCCAAAAGTGGAATTATAAAAATCAGAAGAACCTGTTTTCAATTATAAATAAGTATTTAATGTAGAATCTGATTAACTCCTTTAAGATATAACAGAAGAAAGAAATAGAGTAAATCAAGAGAATTTTCATTAAGTTGGAAAAGAATTAATCATAAAACTTTAATCTCGCAAAAATTAAAACTTACCTTTATACATTCCTATGGAAAAAGAAGTTATTATATCAAAAGATGTATAATTGTATAAATATTTACATGATCATTCAAAAAAAGTCAAAATTTCTAATTGTAAGAAAACTGAAACAGAAAAAGTAGTCTTTATGCGTTACAAAGGCACTTAAAGAAAATTGGCAACCAAAAATTGTTTAAAGAATCAAAAAACTCTGTACGATAACCCATATTAAATTGATGAACCATATTCTTAAGAATCTTCTTTAGAATCTGAATAATTATCCTATAACCTTTCATATTTGAGAATATAAGATTCAAAATTTTATGATTAATCCAATATCAATTCATAAACTCCTTAAAGAAGAGAAAATCTAGCTTTAAGATAGTTTAACTATTTATAACCTATTAATAAAACTTAAAGTAAATTTAAGTTTTAGAAACAATTCTAAAATTAAACTGAATTTAAAGATTTACTAAACGAACAGTGATTCTTGTTAATTAATTTATAACTTGATATAATATTTTCTTTACTTCTAATCAATATTCTATTATACTATTAAATTAATTCTCTTTAATTATTTTAATAAAACTTAATACTTTTTATCATAATTAATATTATCTAGTTTTATCATAAGAATATTTATTTTATTAATATTATCTTATGAAACTAAAATAAATAAGTTTGTAATTAATAAAAATATAACATAAATCAAGTATCAAAATTATAATTAAGATGATGCATATATAATTTGAATATAATTTATTGTTTATCTAATATAAATTTAAAGATAAATCAATATATGAATATTCAATCATTCTTTAAATGTAAAATAGTAAACAATATTTACCTTCTAGTATTTGTAAAAATTAAAAATTTGATTTTTTATCATATAATATTAATGAGAAATTCAACATTAAATAAACTATCAGAATAGAGATAATAAGGGAAGAATTCTTCAAATCTATCAGATTTAACAGTTTAAGAATCTAGTAATTATAGATTGAGATTTACTCCATTAACTTCACCATCCACAAGACATAAAGGAACAATCTTGATGAAAAGTCATGAAACAATTGTACTGAATATGTTGTCATCCACCCATAGACAAATAGATTAGCCATTTAAAGTTTGTCAAGAATGTAATTCAGAAATTGGTATGGTTCACCAATATTGTAAATGTAGAGGAATTACATATCATGAAAAATGTATATAGGATACAGCTAGAAGGAATGCCAAAAAATAAAAGGAATTAGCATTTATTTGCAAAAATGAATGTTCATATCCATTCCAAATTGAAGGATACTATATGTATGAAATGGTGTAGAATTAGGAGAAACATTAATACTATTGGAAAATGGCTCATTCTTTCTATAGTGATTGTCTTTCTTGTGTTACTAATCTTGCCAATTAGTATTTTTGTTTATAGAGATATTTTCAATAGTGTTCATATCATCTCAATTGTGATTGCAATCATTGTACTCTTAATCCTGATTACTTTTTTGATGAATAAACTCAAACTCAATTATTATATATTATACTGGCATCTCAAACCTTCCTTGATTAATCAAAGACAAGTAACAACACATAAAACAATTCAACTATCAGATCTCTTGCCTTTTATTCTATCTGATAGAGACTCAATTATTTATTCATCAGAACCAAAAGAAGAAGATTAAATTATTGAGTAATGATTTAATGAATCCTACTTTTAAGATAATCAAATATTATATTTTTATCATTATATTTTTTTAATCCATAATTATGAAAGTTATCTTTACATTATATTAATTAATTTAAATTAGCAAAATTAAATGTCTATCTATAAAATATGTATTTATTAATTCTTATAAATAATACATAATTTATAATTTTCATAATTATTAAAGAAAAACTAATTTTATATTTGGATTATTTGGAAAGATCTCCTTTAAAACAACATATTGACATTTTTTATTGCATGATTCAATAACACAATTGTCAATTTTATAAATCAAATAAAATAATTCAGAATGATAAGAACAAATAAAAATAATCTAGAATATATTCTTGTTGATTTTCTCATCTGTCAAATCTTCAAATTAATATACAAATAAAATAGGCGTTTTTGTATTTGGAAGAACTAGATATATAAAATTTTTATGATTTTTTTTGAATCCATAAAGAACCCTCCATCTTAACTTCTGTTTATTATAACCATTGAAAAAATTTAGAATAAAAAACTTTATTTCAATTACTAAAATTACTATTTTTATAATTGAAATTTTAATCCTTTGAGTTAGTATTATTATTAGTGATTATACATACTACTAATTCAAAAAACTTAACATTGAATATATAGAATCACTCGATAATAAAGCAAAAGAGATTAAATATTATTAATAATTGAATACGAAATAAATTCTATAAATATTGCATTATATTTCAAGTTATAACTTCAGAACTGAATAATATTCAAACGAAATTATTGATCACTCAAAGTGTTACTTATAATAGATAATCAGAATAATAACTTCATTTTTGGAAATACCATTCAAAAAGATAAATAGAATCCCCAAAATTATAAATCCTTATAACATTAAAAATGCATTCATTTTATTATAAAAATAGAGAATGAAAATCTTAAAGACTTTATGATTATGAAATCAAAGAGTTTACAATATAGTGAATAACTAATTGCTAATTTATAATATTACAGATTCTAGTAAAAATATATACTTAATTTTTATTGAGATTAATTTAATAAAAATATATATAATATCAGGCATCTAAGGAAGATTTTACACTCATGATATGTCATGGGGGTCACTGCGAAGTGAAAAGTCATCATTAATTAATACTTTTTATTCTTTCTTTTTAATTTAACATTTTATATAATTAAATAAATATGGGATTGGTTAGATGAATTGTTAAATATCTATTTATACATATTCATTAATATTAAATTTCTAAATCAAATTATAATACCTTTTTCAATATCTTGTAATATATATTATACTAAATTTAACATATAATATAGAGAAACCATTATAGTAAAAATAAATGTTCTTATTCTTGAAATGATTTCAAATACTTCCCCGTTTCTTTTTTTAATCTTTTTTGGTATCAATTATATTAAGAACTTTAAGAGATTTTTAAAGTATTTTATATTTAATTATAGATATAATGCTTAAAAAATAGACTCGTTAAATATTTAAAGTATGAAAATATGTATTTTTGGATTTGATAATAACAATATAATTGATTGATGTGCACTTATTATATCAATGAACATTCAAATTAGATCTTGGTGGTTATTATGGTTAAGCTTATTATGGAGCTGGTTGATATTAAGGAGCTTATTGGTATTAAGGATATGATGGATATTATGGGTATGATGGAATAACTCTTGATGAAACAATTGGGGCAGCAGCATATTATGGTGCATATGTCACTGGGACAGTTTAGACTGGTTAAACAACACTAAGAGGTTATTAAACAACCTATTAAACGACTGGTTGTTAAACGACTTATTAAACAACTGGTTGTTAGACAACTTATTAAACAACTGGTTGTTAGACAACTTATTGTACTACTGGTTAAACTTATTGCTAAAAGTATGAAATAAAATATATACATGAACAACTTATCTTTCAACTGGATAATATTCAACTCTTTCTTAATATCTATCAACTGGCACGTATTCTAATATTTAATTATTGTTAATACCTGTATATTTTTCTTAAAAGACTTATGGGACATATTCAGTTTAATATTCAACTGCATAATAATCTGTGACTTTCTTTTCTCTTGGGACATATTAAACAACTTCTTATTCTTCATATTCCATAACAGCCTTTTGATAAGGAATATATTCAATTCTTGATTCTCCTTTAATTGTTGCCTTAAAATTTAGATTTTATTATAATTACATGGACTGATTATTAAACAACTGGTTGAGCAATTACTGATTACTACAAAACTGGGGCTTGTACAACTGGTTGAGTAACAACTGGTTAAGCAATAACTGGTTGAGCAACAACTGGTTGAGCCACAGGTCTAGCAACACTGTATGTTAGTGGTGCAATAGGAGCAGGAGCATATTGTTATGGAGCATAGGTTGGTACAGGAGCATATTATGGAGCAAATGATGGAGCATATTATGGAGCATATTATGGGGCATATTATGGAGCTGGTTAGAATTATTATGGTTGAGGTGCTTAATCTAATGATTTATATGTTATTATTACTTTATGGGACAGGTGGTCTTTGTGACATTGAAGATAAAAGATTTTTGTTAATTTTATTTTTATATCCTTAACATAAATTTTATTGCTTAAATATCATACATAAATAATTTAATAATTGTATTTACAAACTATCTAAAATAAAATAATATTCAAAACTTTAAAATATACTAAAGATGATTCCAAACAATACTTAAACTCCAACAATGAAAGAACTTTTGTATTTATTATATCTGTTAATCTTAATAAGAAAAATCTAGCATTAAAGATGTAATTTATATAAATAAGACATTCAAATATGTTTTTTTTGATCAAAAAAAGATATTAAACATCTAATATGTATTTATATCTATAAAAATTAAGATATTTATTAAGTTAATTTGATGCTCAATTATTTAAAAAAAAAATAATAAAAGTATAAAGTAAACAATTTAATTAGAACAAAAAAGTTAAAATGTCTAAGATTTTTCAAGATATTATTAATTAGATTATAAAATATAAATATATAAAATTTAATAATAGAATCAAATAAATTTTATTTAATTTTAATTAAATGATTCTTAAAAAACTTATTTTATAATTTTATCTATTATGATTGCTTAAGCTATAGAATGATAAAATAAAAGAAGTACAAGTTTAAAACAAAAAGATTAATATAGTTCTATATATTAAAATATATAATAGGATGAGAAAGATAATGAAGAGAATGAGTTTAAATTTAGTAAATAAATAATTTGATCATCAATACTTTAGGGTATTCTTTAAATTATTAATTGTAAAATTATGGTTTGTATTGTTATACATGAGTGGATTAAATAAAAATTGTTGACAAAGTTGTGATTATTTCATTTTTAATCCAAATAATTGTCATAATAATAAAATGGATAAGTTTGAAACCATATAGGGCAAACTATTTTATACAGTTTATTTGATGCATAAACAAAATGAGATTAGTGAAGAATAGAAAGGAAGAATAAAAGGTAGAGAGTAGGTTTATGTTCAGATTTGATAGTTTAATGGGATCCTCAAATATAAGAAATTAGTAAGGATCTGAATAGACTAAGACAGAACTTTCTCGAAATGGCATGCTCATACTCTGATAATGCAGATTCAAAAATAACCAAAATAACTCCTCGAAGCTTAAGTCGTCTCAATGTTAGGATAGGTCATAGTAACTTTAAGTTGGCAAATAAATCTTATAGTTCATTATCATCGCCTATTGATCATCGTAAACCATTATTATTATGAAAACAATCACATAATTTTCATTCTAAATATTTATCATAATTCTAGAGTATATGAAGATTATCATATATAGTCTTGTTAAATATTGCCATTAAAAGATGTCTTATTTAATAAATACTTATTTTATGATGTAGATTGAAAATGTATTTATATACTACTCTAATATTGTTTGTTTTTAATAATTATTATACTAAAAGGTTGAGTCTATCTGAGATCTCTGATTCCTAATTATATAGAAACTTCTTGTTTTAAAATTGTTTTATGAGTTCCTCAATATAATAAATTCAATAATAAGCAAGTTTTGAAAAGCACATCCTCATCATTTTTAATACTACAACATATTTTATATATCCTATCAAAAAAATTAAATATAATCTCCTTGGTTCTAACATAACCTTATTGAAATTGTAATTTTTCTCACAATGCATTATTTACTGTAAACTTGAAAACTGAATTTAAACATATTCTGATTTTTAATTTTTGTTTGAATTATACAAAACTTCAAAATAAACAATTAAACTTTTTCTATTATTATTACATTTAGACAAACTTGATCTTCTTTAATTTAATACTTCTAAATTTCTTGACACTACTTAAGATTTTTAATTATAAATTTTTTTTTACTTTTGCCATTTTGCTTTCTTTCACCATCAATTAATAATATGACAATGTAAATACTGCCTATTTATAAATGAATCCTAAAATATTTATATTTAATTTATCACAAATCGATATTCAATAAAAAGTCTATTAAGCAATAATTCAATATTATTCTATATTTTTATATCTAACAAAGCAACTTAGAGAACTATTTAAAATTAGTAATTCACTACCTTTCAATTATGTTTTTAATTCTACTAATTTTATTTATTTTAATCTGTACTTTTTTAATTCTATTAATTCTTTTCTAAAACAGTTAAAGTGCTTCAAATATTACTGTTTCAAGTCTTTAAGATTATATCTTATGTGTATTTCCTTCCTTTATTTTTGCAATGGGAATGGGAATCTAAAATTTTTCTATTTGACGTAGAATCATTTTTTGTTATTTATTGTGTAATTGGAACCCTTTTTTATATATTAAATGAACTAATATTACATTTCAGAGAATTTAGTAAAAAGGTTGTTTAAGTGAGAGTAAGAATTATAATTTCAACATTGATGATTATAGAATCATTTATTATAAATAAGGCTAAATTGTCAATTAATACATTAAGTGAAATAATTTTTATTGTTAATTATTAATTAATGTTCAGCCTTACACCTATTGTTCAAAAATCTTATTAAAGCAGCTCTTTTTCTTACGAATAAAAAATGGATGATATGACCTGTATAGTTGACAATGGAGTATCAGGATCAATATATTTAGGAAATATAGAATCTGCATGTATTGATTATTGTTCTACTTAATTTTAGCTAACCTTGAGAATTTACGAAGACATAGAATCAATGGTGTTTTATCAATTTGTATGAATAAGATACCATTTGAAGTACAAACATAATTACAAAATTATCTACATATATATTTAGAGGATTGTGAATCTGAAAATATTAGCAGACATTTTGACAATAGTAATTAATTCATTGAAAGAGCCAGATAAAGTGGTAATGTATTAATTCACTGCATGGCTGGTATTTCTAGATCAGCTACACTTGTTGCAGCATATTTAATGAAAAAGAATAATATGAGTGCTTAAGATGCCTTAAGATTATTAGAAAGAAAAAGATGGTAAGTATATCCTAATAATGGATTTTTAAGACAATTACAATAATATGAAAGAGTATTACAATAATAAACTAATAAGAGTGATATAATAGATTCATCACCTTTAAAAGAATCTTTATTAAAAAGGTAAAAATCTATATTAAAAAATTAGTAAATAATTTTAAACTCCAATCAAAGAAATCTCATTCATGAATAAATATGAAGAAAAATAATAATATTCTGGAATTAAAACAAGACCTCTTGATGAAATTAAATATGAAAGTTATAAACGTAAATCTTTAGGAGCAGAACTTTATAGTAGTCCAGAACCATCTTAAAAAATGCAATTCTCACTTACTAATCATAGACCTAATTCAGCACTTAGAACTTCTCCAGATTTGATTAGAAAGAAGAACTATTTATAAGATGCAAGTAATTTCTTTTAATTTAATTCTTTATTAGTTCATGGAAGTAAAAAAGATGGATTAGCTACTTTAGCATTAGAATTAAATTCTTTAGATTGGTAAAACAAAAAATAAGATTTTGAAAATAAATTTGCAAAACAAATGACACAACCTTCCAGCAAGACATTTATATCTTAGAATAAACCATTTTAATTAAATTAACATTAAAGTAAACTTGATGAATTATTAAATGCCTTTAACAGAAAGCCAATACTATGAGTATTATGATTTTAGTATTTATCATTGTACATAATGTTCTGATTAATGTTTTATAATTCTATTTAAAAGTACAATTTTGCTAAATTTATCAGCCTCACATAACCTTAATTAAGCATCCTTTTATTACTGTATTATCCTTTCTAATCTTCTACTCTATATCATTTAAACAGTCTTATTTTACTCCTTTATATCATCCCCTCTTGTTATATCTTATTAAGAATGAACTGAGAATATCTTTTAGAATTAAGGCTTCATTTTAACATCATTATCCTCACGTATTTATTGTAATGCCTGAGTAGCTGTTGGTCTGAATTCTGGTACTTTATTCAACAATTTAAATATTAGACTCTATAATTTCCTTGAGTATTTACAATTAATTGGTTTAGGTGATTTATTTACAATATTATATCCCAAAGAAATAATATTACTTCCTCCAAAAGGAGGATCTCCTTGACAAATAAAATATATAACACAACCCAATGCCCATATATCAATCTTACTATCATATGGTCTATTTCGAATTAATTCAGGTGCCAAATAAAGAGGAGTTCCAACTTTTGTTGTTGACAACTATTGAGTAGAAATTAAACTTTTAGACACTCCCAAATCACTAATCTTCAATACATTGCTTTTCATTAAAATATTATTGGGTTTTATATCTCTATGCATAATCTTTTGTGAATGTAAATATTCAACACCTTCTAACAATTATATGGTCCACTGCCATACTTAATTTTCAGTTGGAGATGGGTTCCGACATATATAATTGTAGAGATCATCTTCACAAAATTCCATAAAAATATTTAACTTATCTTTTCTCAATTAAGAATTATAGTAAGACACTATATTTGGATGATTTAATGTATGCATTATTTGAGCTTCTCGATAAGCTTCGTTCTATTGTTTCAAAGAAAGATTCTTTAAAGAGATTTCCTTAAGCACTTAGATTTAAGATCTAATTTTCACTTTATAAATAACTCCATAACTTCCTTTACCTATTTAATCAATAATTTCGTAATCCATTTATTTATTTTATTTAATAAACTCTTTTATAAAATTTATTAGATGAATTCATAAATAAGTATAACAATTCAGACAGGTGATATGATTTAGACATAAAATAGCAATATTCGATGAAATCATAAATTCAAGTTAAAGAATATATTTTATAGATATAAAATTATAATAAAACTTCATTAATAAATATATTAATTAAACATTATATGTAATGTATGTATGATCAATGAGATATATATATTTAGATTTTAAGTAATTCATCAACATCAAATTCCTAATTCCTTAATATATTTAATTGTAATACTCAATGAAAAATAGAAGTATGAATTATGAATCTTTTTTAAATAATATAGTTTGATCATAAAAATGTAATTATGAAAATTAATATTTATTTCTTTTTTATTACTTATACTACAATACCATAATAAAGTATATGTAGAAAAACAAGAAAAGTACAACAAATTATTATTCATAAATAAAGAAATAAGAAGTCTATCATTTCTAAAACTCAAATTTTGATGTATTTTTAGATTAATAATTAGTTCACATAGTATATACCCTTATGTTTTTAAAAAATATATTTAAAATTAATACCTAATATTTTTTGATTAAATTATTATAATGATCAAGTTCAAATGTGAATTAACAGAAATGTAATTTTTACATTCCATATATTAGATCTAATGGGAATTTAAAGAAAATCAAATTATTTTTTTCGGATTAAACTACATTCTATTAAAGATATATATATTCAGTTATTCAATAGTTTTGAATCTTCACTGAAGTAAATAAATTAGGTATTTTTAGGCATATTTTATAAATGCCAGAAGGAAAGATATATTAATTATGATGTGGATAGATATGTTATAGTTTTTTTAAAGTATAAATTTTAAAATTGACTTGTCAAATTTGATATAAATTCATAGAATGTATGGTAAATCTCATTCAATGAATTAAAATTAATGTGTATATTAATAATAAAAAATGGATCGTTTAATCATCTTTTTGGCTATTCTTTTGATGGTAGGAAACAACTATGCTTTTGATATTCCTCAAGCTCTTGAGGTTCCAATAGAAGAAGAGTTTCAATTAACATAAACCTAATTCAATTTGCTTTACAGTGTGTTTGCAATCCCGAATATAGGTTTGAGTATTGGAGGAGGTATAATGATAGATAATATGGGTGGACGTTGGGGTGTAAGAACATATTATATTACTTAGGTGTTTACATTTAGTCTAATGTTAGGCCTTTCATAATTATTTATATTTTTTGGAGGATGCTATCATAATTATTGTATGATGCTTTGTGGTAGAGCTATATTTGGTATTGCAAGTGATATTTTACATATTGCTGTGTTTAAAATGGTAGCTTAACGAATGCCAAAAGATATGGGTACAGCAATGGGATTAATACTTACAGTACCAGAATTAGCAGCTGCTCTTAATTCGTTTTTATCACCTTATTTATATGAAAAAACAAATTCATTAAAAATACCTTTGTTATTTGGATTATTCCTATGTTTTTTAGTATAATTTAAAATAATTTGAATAGTCCTTTCTATCAGGGTTAATAATGATTTATGTAGATATGAAATATGAGAAAATAGAGAGTGTGAAATAAACAGAATAAGTTTCAGTATTTAATTGTAATCATAGTATTTTATAATTTAGTTAAACTTACCAAATCCTTTGTAATAATGAGCATAATAACAACATTAATGTTAGCATCATATGTTCCATTTCTTGATAATGCTAATAAATTTTATCATGAACGTTTTGGATTTAGTATAATGGATGCTGGTCAAATAGTTACAGTCGGTTATGTTGTGGCAGGTAGAGTATAATAATAATATGATATTTCTAGCATTAACATCTCCTATAGTAGGTAGAATTTCAGATAAGTTTACATAATATAGACCTTTATTTATTGTAGTATCAACAATAATGTTTTTTATATCCCATTTACAATTTTATTACATGCCATTAACTACTTCTCCTAATTATTATTCAGTTTTTGCGTAAAATATTAATAAAATTTTAGTTTGATTACATTAGGATTATCATATTCATGTTTCTCAAGTGTTTTAATGCCTGCTTTATAAACTACAGTTCCTGAAGATATGTTAGGTAATTTATGAATATGATTGAAAATAGCAACTGCATTGGGTTTATTGGGGATAATAGAGAATTTTTGTATGGCTGTAGTTCCAATGATTTCTGGTTTTGTATATGCTATTGGTGGTGGTATTGATCCAATGAAAAATGTGGATATAATTTATTTATTCTTGGCAGGTATTGGAGTTGTACTTTCAATACATTTATTAATGGAAAATATTCTTTAACCAACCAAGGCACATGTGAAATTGCCTAATGCTCTAGATATTTGAAAATAAAATAAAAAAAATGATTATAGCAATTTATTGTACTATTTTTCTAATATTATATATTAATTTGTAAGTATTTAAACATACAACTATAATATAAAATTCATAACTTAAAATATAATATGTTAATTCACTATTTCTTTTAATACTTTTTAGCTTTTTCCTCTTCTTTTTTTCTTTCTTCTTCATCTCTCTTTTTTTATTTTTCTCTTCTAACACGTTCTTTGTAAGTGTACTCTTCATTATTTTTTCTTTACCAATCTTCAGAATGCCAAACAGGTTTAGTATAAAATGATTTTGGCTTATATGGTTTAGCTGGTTTAACTTTGACAATTTTGCCAAATAATTCACCTTCATCATAATTATCTATTGCAGCTTCAGCATCTTCAATATCTTCATATTCTATAAATGCGAATCCTCTATTCTTTTCTTCAATAATTATAATATATATACAGGTTTCACTATCAATAGGTAAATCTACAGATTTAATTTCACCGAATGTTATAAATAAATGTTTAATTTATTCCACAGTTACATCTTCAGGGATTCCACCTAGGTAGACGGTATTTGCTAATTCTTCTGACATAAATAATTATTTTAATTATTTAGTGTTTGATTTTAAATATTTAATAAAATATATATAATAGATAAATAAGTCCAATTACTCTTAGTCTTTTATTGAACTACTATTTTTACATTATTTTAGCATCTCTATAATGATTTTATATAGTTTTTATACTAAAAACAATAACAATTATTTTGAATAAGGAACATTGTCTTAAAATACAAATTTAATTATAAAATGGAAAACAATAATAACAATATATCATCCTTAGTAAAATCTATTAATTAAACTAATCGACGATCCCTCAAAATTTCAGTAGTACATCCAAATGATGATGCGCTTATAAATATAGATGATGAAGAAAAATTTTTGTATGAGAAGAGATAATGGGAAATTACTAACTAATAAGTTTCCTTAGAAAAAATTTAAAAAGAATATATGGAAAGGTATAAGGGGGAATGGAATTGGGATGTTTTTATAGAGTTTTTCTTATATCATTAGGTAATCTTAATTTTTAGGAATTTAGATTTTCTTCACAATATTGGGACCATTCATGGTTATTTTATTTAGTGTATGGCCAGGTATGATATTGATGAAGAACATGAAATTTTATGGTAATTCAATGGCTTTTTATACATAAATTCTTTTATGGTGTGGATCAGTTTTAGGAGGTTTGGGATACTTTTTATGGGATGAAAGTATAATCACTCTTACAGAAATTTTATTCCTTTGGTATGCATTAACTATAAGAAGTGTTGTAATTGCAGCTAAATATGCAACTTTTAGTAAAAGTGTAATAAATTTATACAAGAATGTTGTACTACCAGATGATGTATTTTAATTTGATTTAATGATGAATGATTGGAGAGAATAATCTCCTAAGATTCTTTTTTTGGAACCTTATCGTGCTCTATAACGTTATTAATTTGAGATTTCATTGTTTAAAATGGATTTTATAGTGTAGCCTCATTAAGAAACAAAGGTTGCCATCGATAAAGTTGATATTAGTTATTTTAAAGATATAGGAATCACTTTAGATAATGATGAATATTCAGGTTTTAAACTTTTTGGATACTTAGTAAATCATTATTAAAATTAAAATTCAGCAAATACTCATCTTTATATAAGTCTTTTTGAAGCATTTATACTTTCTACAACTCCAATATGGTTGAGAATTGGTGATTTATTTAATTCAGTAGAAGCATTAGATATGTTTAGAATTGGTATATTTATATATAATTTAAGTATTGAATTTAGTTTCATCTTTTATTGGATTTTGGGGTAGTATCATATTCTTTCATTAAGCCTTTTATGATTTTAATCGAAAATTCTTTTTACTTGAATAATTGTTACTTATAATAAAAGTTAGGCCAGATTAGATTGAATAACTTAAATTATTACCAACTATTAATTTTAATAATATTACTACATGGTAAGCATGGTCAATGATGAGAGCTATTTCATTTGATTATGGTCAAACATATAATTTTAGAACATAAGGGTTTTATTCTCTTTGTTTCTTAGGATTTATTGTATTGATATTTCTAACATTATTACTCATTTTAGACTTTGTACATCTTGATTTATTTTAACTCATACTATTAAGTGAATTGGCAATCATGATTTTTGGCTTTACTACCTATTATCTTTATTAAGGTGCTAAATTGAATACTTATTTGGATTAATGTGAAGTGGCTCTATAAGATGTTAAATCTATATATTAAGATCTTTTGAGAATGAAGGACATCTATTTTGAATAAAAAAAAGAACCTTAGAATTATATTCATAAGAAATTCAAATAACTATTACAAAAAGAAACTCAGATTGAAGAAATCATTAAATCTATAATTCAAGAATTGGATGATAATATTAGAATTATTTAATATGATTCAAGAAATAATCCATTTAAACTATATGGAATCAAAATTACTTTTAACTTACTCAAAAGTGCTGCAGTTGGACTTAGTACTATCTATAGTTATTCACTTTAGTAAAGATTTATGTAAATTAAATGATTTCATTGTATAATTATAAATATACTTTTTATATTATTATTTATAAAAATAAATAATTTAATTATCAGACTAATAAATCTTTATTTATATTTATATTCAATTCATAAAGAAGTTCCTAAAATTGGACCTACTATAACCAAAATTAAAACAAGTCCAATCATAATAATACAACACATTTTCTATAATTTATATAATTATTTATACTTTTCTAGCAGCTTAGTGATCTTTTTTGGCTTTTATCAATTATGCTTCTCCTTTTTTAACATAATCCTTAGCTTTTACCATGTTCTATTCAATATTATCAATCAATTCTCCTTGATTTTTGACTAATACTGCCATATCTACAAAGAGTTGATATACTTATTGAACACTCTTAAAAAAAAGTAAATATTTAATTATACTCTCTCTAGCTTAACTATATCTTAATATTTTTCTTGAATATCTTGAACAGCGTTTTATAATTGAATCGACGCTTATCCATAGATTTTCTTTTATAATAATTCTTGCATTTTCTACATCAAATAAATCATACATTTGGATCTTCACATAATTCATCAATTTAATTCTCATTTAGATTTGAATCTAAACAAACTGCTTGTCTTTTTATTTTGTTCCTCATACTATTTTGGAAATCTAATTGAGCCTTTTGACTTTCTTATAATACAGCCTAAACTTTCAAATTTAATGCAGCCCATATATCCATTTTCATTCTTGTTTCAGGTTCATCTGGTTCTTTCTCTTTAGCCTCTTCAACATCCTAAGCTACTTATTCCATTAATTTTTTTAATCTTTCTTATTATTGATTATTTTATTAAATAATCCTATCCAATTTCATACTTACATCTTTAATATAATTTAATTGACTAATACCCACCTTTCTCAGCTTCTGATCTAGTTGCACTTGTATAACCCTTCTTTAATTCTTCAATTTTAACAATATTCGATCTAATTGTCTCTAAAATTCTCTAAACTCCATCAACATTAACTTTAAACAAAGGCATTAATTCATCATTATCATTAATCACAATATTTTGATCGTCACTTTATGCATCATTACCCATTTACTTTTGAATGGTTTGTTAAGTACTAATATATATATAGTTATTAACCCTGCTCCTTTAATCTCAAATAAACAATCTTCCATTTATTAATAATAATAATTATTATATTTTATTATTTTATTATATTCAAAATTAAATAATCAAATATTTCTATCTAGCTTATTCTTTATCATTTGAACATATTATTTCTATTTAATAAGAACTATTATTAGATATTTATAATGATATTCCAACAAAATATTATAATTTATCTAAAAAATAGTTAATTTTAAATATGAACGAGATTTTACTCAATTCTTAATCATCCAATTTTTTGAGTGAAGAGATAATCAATAAAGCTACAAAAGATCCTGAAACAAGAAACAATATCATTAAATTTGAATAGTAATTTCAATTTGTTAAAAATTAGTAAATTGTTATCGGTGTATGCTCATAAATTTTCAATCATTCTATTACCAAAAACCGAATAAATTTTAGGTAAAATGTAAAATAATAAAATAGAATGGCATGGAATGATTAGCATATCATATGGACTATATGCAAAAGGAAAATTTAAATTTGTATTAACTTTCCCTAAAACCTTTCCAGAATCTATTCCTAAAATAAGATTTCTAAATCCATTATTTCATCCTTTAATTGATGAATACAATAATGTAGATGTTGACACTCTTATTCCAAAATGGAAATATGGACAAGATTGTATGGTATATAATTTATTAAACAAACTTTATGAAATGTTTATTGATATAAGTTATTATGATTGTGTCACATCTTTTAACCCTCGAGCTGCTTAATTATTTTCAAATGATATAAACTCATATGCTGAAGAAGTCAATAAATAAATTGCCTAATCTGAATAATAGCTTTATGATAACAAAAATGATTTCGTACTTAAAGTATATTATTATATAATTTTATAGTTAAAAGAACCAACCTATAACACATAAACAATTCTCTAAAAATTATAAGATATCAACTCTTCGAAAAATTTAACATTTGAATAAAAGAAAAAGGATCTATTAAGTTATATACTCTAGTAAAGTAAGGAAAATTAAATTATAGAATGAATAATCAAACTTTGGTTTCTTAAAATTTATAAATGATCAATCTTCTTAATCTAAATAAGCATTTAATAATCCATTATCAATTTCTAATTCTTACTTTTTAATCTATTAAAAAAATCAATCAAATTAGTCAACTTTCACTCTTTATCATATATATATAAATAACAATATGATATATTATATAAAGTACAAAAAAATTGTTAATTTTAATTAATTCTGATTTGATAAACATTATGGTATGATAATTACACTTCCACAATATAATTATTTTGTAATAATATTTTATGTTTGATTTCTGTATATAAATGTGCTAAAGCAATTTGATAAAAATAATATTTGAAAATTATAGGGAAAAACAAGAAATTTGTCTTGCTGATTAAAAATTGATTCCAATCTCATTTTTTGTTATTTCTATAAAGACTTCTTCATTTAATTAATCATAAATAAAGGATTTACTTTATTCTCTCTTTCTGCAAGTTGAATATAAAATTTATTATTTACATATGTAATTTCAATAGACTGCTGCATTCAAGGAATTGCTGTAGGGAGAATATAAAATACAGAAGAGCAATTTGATACGTTAAGCAAAAATATTGGCCCATAAACCATCTTTGGAACCAAAAATAAATCTAACTCATCGTAGTGTAGAAGATCCTCCACAAAATAAATAGAGAAGTGGAATTGCTCTTCCAATTCTGATATAAAAAAAACAACAGTTTAATATAGATTGTGATAAGGCAAAAGATATAATCAAGAACTTTAATATAAAACTTATTCGCTAAAGAGTGTGTTAAAATGAAAAAATCCACAGAAAACTATCATAACATAGTATTTAAAATACTCAATAACTGAATCTCACTTTTGGACAAAACTTTCGCATAAAAACAAGACCAATTTTCTCAAAGTAAGATAACAGTGTAGATCTCCGAGACTCTCATTCTGCTAGTAGAGTAATGTCTCATTCATAATAAAGATTAGTAAATAAACTATTTTAATGAATTATTATTATTTTATCATATATATCTTTGTAAAATTAAGGATTCATTGCTTTTATAGTCAATTAGGCTTTAAAATGTTAATAATGTTTGATTTTTTTCATATTTATGATGATTATATTATAATCATTTAAATATGTTTTAATTTAAATCACTAATTCAAATGAATAAATAATGTATATCCATTATTATGCTACAAAATAATATAAAACTATATCTTTCTATTTTTATATCCTCTTATTCAATAATTTAAAGTAGATTACTTTGTAAACTTAAATTCAACCCAAAATATTATTATCAACAAATCTAATGTGTAAATGATGTAATTTCCTTTAAAATTATAAAACAAATGATATCTATCTTATTTATATTCAAATTCCTTTTGGTAATTTATTATATTTAAACACTTAGTTGGTTGCAAAAATAAATATAATAGATTCATTAAATGAATAATTTAATAATGTATTAAATTCATATCTCCTGTCTTATATTATAATAATATTTTTAGGTTAGATAAATGTTTTTATTAATTTAAAAAATAGGAATAACTTAAATAATATAAAATTCTTAATAATTTAATTCTAAATATGAATTTTTATAGAGATTTGACAAAATAAGAGTACGACTTATTTAATAACTATCGATTTAATCCATAAAGTGAATCAGATAAAGAGAAATTGTTATGTGTTGGATAAACTATTAGAAATTTGACAAAATTATGCCATTCTTAATGTTTTGATAAATCTCTATAATTCTCAGAAAAATGTGTTTCAACTTGTTTTAATAATTATTTTAATTCAGTTGAGTATAGTGTGAAAAAGAGTAATGATAATCCACAATGATGCCTTATATAATTATGAAAAATAAAACAAATAATATAGTAATATAATATAATTTTAAAAACATCTAAGAATTTAATTAAATTATTATATAATTAGATGAATATCAATCAAGTTATATTTCCTTTCCAATTAATACAAGTCTTTTATTTTTGTATTTTAGTTTAACAATAGCTAAATATTCTTCATATTTTTGTTCTATTTTATCAAAATCAAATTATTATTCAGGTATTTATACAATTGGTATTTAAGGATTATTAATTTTGATATCCTAAAGAGTACAAAGTGGAGAGATTGAATATTTTGTACCTTAATTTAGAATATAGTATTACCATCTTCTTTATAAATATTCTCAAATGGTAGAAACCAAAAATAAGAATAATTAAAAAACCATGCTATATTAGATAGTGTTCCTCTATCAAATAAGTTAATATTTCTTGGAGGTTTATCATTTTGAATACAACAATTCCCATCGGAACCACTTTTCATTTATTCTAAAGTAGTCTAATTATTAAGGATTAATGATGTATGATAAAAGAATAAGAAGCATAACATAGCACATGTTGGATATAATACCAAACTAGTTAAACCCCAATATATATAAAAGAATGTGGATTGATGAAAAAAGAAACCTTGGTTACTTTGGAACAAAAATCTAAAATAAATCAAAGACGCATAACTATATTGAATTGCACCAATCTAAATATTTAATATTATTTACAGTCATATACAATGTAAAGAGATAAAAGGATCTATGATTTCTTAAACCAACACAATTATGAATCCAAGGACAATGATGATCCATTTTTAATATACATTTTCCACAAAGTGAACAATGATGAGTTCGTATAGGTTTCCATTTATTACATTCTAAACAAGAATTAGTATTTTTATAAATAGGATCAATTCTTCTATTATCTTATAATGGAATAGCCTTTTCTATTGTATAATTTTTTATTGTAATCGATTAATAATATGACCACATAGCCATTCCATAAAAAAAGAAAACTAAAAATCCATTTATTAATTAAGTTGTAGGATCCATTTTCAAATCGAAGTACTAATCTTTTCATAATTGATACAAACTATTCTAAAATCACACAATTTGTTGGCATTAGTACAGTAAAAAATATAATAAAAGGTCCAGCTTAATGTTTAAATTATGCTCTCTTTTTACGCCTCTGATTATGATCACTAGAATGAATCATTTATTGAAAATTTTATATTAATTTTAAATAATATATAAAAATGTCTAATAATCCTAGTACAAATATAAGTAAGGAATCTATGAATAATGATGATGATTGTGAAGATTTAAATAAAAGCTTTATTTGTAATCTTGATATTCTTCTTATTTTGATACTAATTTACATTGGAATTCTAGTTTTGATTTTTATATTCAGTTTATATAAGGGTTGGAAAGTTAAAAGAATGAAAAAATATATTATATTTCAAAGCTTTGAATTTAATAATAAAAAAAAGAATTTGATATGATAAGAATTTTATTTCATAATAACTTTTCTTTATAAACTTAAATCTTAAATTTCAACTTTTTTCTATTTTATTTTGATTTATGGTTTCAAACAATAATTATAATACAGAGATATATTGTATAATTAAAATAGGTTTTTTGTCCATTTGCTTCTTATTTTAGGTACAATTTGTTTCTTCTTTAAATTATTCAAATATTATACAAGAAAACAAAAAATTTAATTTATAATTGTATTCAAAGTCTATTTTTTGTTCTTAATCTTAGTTAATATAGGATTAAATTAGTGACTTTATTTCAAATTTCAAAAAAGGAATTAAATTTTAATATTTATGAATATTTATAAATTTCATTAAAATTAAGTCAACATCTAAAAAAGGTTCTTTAAGAATTTAGCTTAAATTCACTTAATTATCTGTAACATAATTGAATTTTTATCAGCAAATAATTCTTACTCTAAATATTTAATTAGACAAATTAAATTAAGAACTGATAAAATTAAAACGAATGTTTAAGAAAGTATAACTTGGAAGTAAAATAATTATAGAATTAAGTTTTTTTTAAATATATTTCTATTAATATTTATTTTAGTATGATTTTTCATTTCTTTAAAACTAATCTATTATTTTATTATATTGATCATATTTTATAATTTTGATTTTATGAAATAACTACAAATAATTTTTTTAGGATTTATAATGTATATTCAAATAACTTTATAAAGTAGAAGGTGGAAAAACATACATTTAATCTATTATTTAAACTATTTAGATAATTTAAAGTAATAATAAATGAGTTATAATAATAAATTAAAACACGATGAACATTTGTTTTTTCCATTCTATAAAAATTAATATATGGTTTTTGAAGCAAATCTATGTAGAATTCATGTTTTCTTTAAATAATAATTAAAATTTTGAAGGAAATATATAGAGCTCCTTAATACCTTACTCTGTAACTCAATCTATATTATAAAAAAAAGGGGGTTTTTAATAAAAATTTGATTTAAAACGAAATGATAAAAGAAATTATTGAAATGAAAAATAGTATTTAGAAAGTGAACTAATTTGTTAAAAAGATTATATAATAAGACCGTTTTATCCTACTCTTTAATTTCTAAAATGAAAGACAATATGAATAATTTAAGTCAACTTACTAGTAAAATTAAGAATACTATCATCCTTTTTGAGATTATGGATTAGTGAATAAATTTAATACAACAATAAAATTATAAAAAGTTAAGTAATAAGATTAAAAAATTTTATATTTATAGTAATAATTAGTGAAAGATGTAACATTCATATTTCCTATTTCTTTTTTATTAATTCAAAATTCTTCACCTATGGAGTTTGAGGAAATAGATTCATTACTTAAACTTTGAAAAATAACTGAGATTTTGTTACCTATAAATTAATAAATTTAATACATGAAGCATTCGTAGATGAAAGCATATACATAGATTGATTAATACTTTGTTGATCAAAATCATTTCTCTCTAAATCAACTAAATTGAACACCATAGATTTTAAATCAGGTAATAAAACATAGTTTGAGTTTGAAGTAATCTCAAGTTGAGGTTCATCTTCAGATGGTTATATTAATTATTCAATATTATTTTGGAAGTACAATTTCATGTTTGTCACTATCTTAAAGTCTGTCTTCAAATTTTTGTTTAAATTGTTCATGAATGCAAAATATTAAATCTTTGTTTAAAATTATTAAAATCTTCAAACTTTTTCATAATGTTTACAACCTGATATAACTGATAAATAATTAGAAATAATTAAATATTTAAAACACATTGAAAGGATAAGAATATCTAATTAACCAACAGACTCAACTTTAAGTCCTTTAATTTTTTATAAAAGTTAAATATGATAATACATTCTAATTATAAAAGTATAATTGATTACCTTCCTAATTAATGTTGTGAATTTTAAATTACTAAACAATTATTGCATATCATAAATATATTAAAACAAAGATATATATGATAAAGAAATTCTGGTATTTCACTACTTGATTTTCTAATTAAATCACTATAATTTCTTTATTTTTATTTTCAATCTATATTAGGGCTTTAGATAGGTTTATTTTTCAACATTATACATTGGAAAATGAATAAGGTAATCACATAATAAGAAAATTTAAAAAATATAGATCATATTATTTTTTAGGAATTATAATTTGATTTTTGTTCTTACATGTCCATTAGATGAAATGTGATGTAGAAATTAAAATTATATTCTTTTTCTCATGGTAATTTCATTCATTGTATAAATGATGTTGAAATTTAATATGTTATTAAATATATAATATTAAAAATTTTAATATTCAAATAAAATTTTTTTATTAGCATTTAATAATGATGGTCATTTTAGAATGTTCTTTTAAATTGGGAGAAATATAAATTATAATTTATATTATTTTTATTAAAAGAAATTTAAAATAACAATGAAATTTCAATTAATCATGTACCAAAAGATATAAATTTATGTGATTTCATTAAAGTGAGGAAGAATTCTCTATACGTAATAGTTTTGAGTTAAACTTTTGAATTTAATGATTCTCTTCTTTAAAATCTATCACTTGTAATTTGTCTTCATTTTATATTTTTAAGAAATCTATATAAGAAAATAAGCTAATCTATTTTTCTAGTTCTTATTCAAGTGTTTAATCTGAATTTAAGTTGCATTCACCTTCTAGACCATCTTGCAATTTTAAATTTATATTGGATAATTCTCCTTAGGGGAACTAAGGATATTATATTAATTTGTACTATTAAATTCGAAAAATTAGAACTGTCTTTTTGATCTTAAATTCCATATTTATCAATTAAAGGTTCTAATTTTTATGGATGATTTAATAATTATTTTATTTATTCAAACCCCATAGATCTTACTAATAAAAGCTATAATCTACTTTTTAATAAATCTTTGTTACCTAGATTATTCAAATAAAATATTCCTAAAATCTAATTTTTAAATTGACAATTATCGTAGTTTATTTAATAGCTTTTACATTTTAACTTTATCACAAGATTTATCCTTAAATGAAATTTCAATTATTTTTCCATACCAATTTTTCTTTATTTATAAATTTTATAAATCATTACAGTACATTTACACAACTTCTGTAATAATATTTTACATACTAAGTTCTTTATTATATTATGTTACAAAATAAGATATTGTAAAAAACCAACTTATAATAGAACTTGTGTCAGCAAGAACTTCTGATATTTTTGGATATTCATAAAGAGTTTCTAATTTAATCTAATCCAATGTAAAATATAAGATCATCATTTAGTCTTTATTAATATTTGTTTAATCTATATCATTCACTGAAGCTAGTTAATACATATTATAAAAGAATTTTTTTTCTCTAGAATTAGGGAATAAGATTCCATCGTCTATTGAAATTTAACTACTCTCAAGTTAAAAATTATAAAATATCTATTTACTCTTTGAAACACTTAAAACATAAAACTTTGGAATTTTATCTAATTCTTTAGTTTTAATATTGAATTATTAAATATAAATTTGAATCTAGAATAGATTTTATTATTCTTTAAATTAATTAAATGTTGTTTCGTCAGCACATTGCATATCCTTTGATATTTTATCTGGATTGCATCTCTTTAAAGTTATTTGATAATCTTTTTATGCTAATTATTAAGATTAAAGTGGAGATCCTACTAATTCAATATCATATAAAACAAATTTATTAACAGTGATATCACTATCTAAAATTTCTTATTCAAATACAATATTGTTAATTTCTTCCTTTAAAATAATAATCAAAAATAAAATACTTTTGAAGGATTAACAGTTAATGTTGGATAGTAAATAAGTTACTTTGGATTGAAAGGATCTATTTAATTATGAATTTATTAAAAGTAGCAAATTTCTAGGAATTTACCAGCACTCTAAACTGTTTCAGAATAATTAATTTATTTTGATGTTGAAGTGACTTTAGGTAACTTATTATTTTACATCCAATCGATGAATTGATATAAAAAATATGTAACAGTGATTCCGTAGAGTAGCAACGTCATGATTCCACCTAATACACTTCTTTTTGTAGATAATGATCTTTAAAAGAGTACTCTCTCTTCAACTCCAAACTAATCTATGGATAACAAAAAGTTATTCATTTCTAAATATATTATAATTAATATTTGTTATACTAATCATCATTAGTATGTTTATAATTTTGTCAACTAATTGAGGATGTCTACTTTTCTATATTTCTGATTTTTAAATCAATTTGGGATCCTGCCTAAGGTAACATACTTTAATTAAATTCAATTTGAGTATATTGAGTATTTTCTTTCATTAATAATAAACCTATATGTAAATCCAAATCTTCCTCTGGTAAATTTTCAGAAAACATCATTAATTCTCCTTCTGATTAATCTTATCGCTTTAAATTATCATTCTATTATTCTAAAGGTTACTTTATAAAATTAATATAAATTACAATTTAATTTATGACCTTTTTAGTTTATGGTAATTCATATAATCCAATTTTATCCAAAATTGATTCTAATTTATGATTTTATTATAAACATTTTTTCATTTAATCAATTCCCAAATATTCTTGCAAGATTAATTAAATTCTTAAAATAATGATAATAAATACCTAGACACTTCAAATTATAGATTTATGTAACTCATCTTTTAATCAGCCATCTAATGCAAATTTTCAATAAATGAA